AATATTCGCATAGCATCATATTAGGTATTTTATATACTTTGAAAATTCGAGTGACATCATTAAAAGAAGATTATAATTCTTGGATTGTTTGATAAATTCTATTTAGTGACTTGTTTACAAGTCTGATAAGAAGTGATAATTTAATTATGACATGATACATTTATTAAAAGTGAACCGAATCATGTAATTATATAATTATAAGTAACAAGAAAAAATTAATGTAACCTTAATTCAATTTTATAAGAAAGAGCTACATTTATTATTTATGAAACATGATTATTATTTATTTCTCACTCATATTTATAGATTGGGACAAGTAAGTAAATTTAATACTCTTTCATAGAATGAGTTGAGTCAAAGAAGGATTCCAATGTAGAAGTATGCACATTTTGTGTTTGTGATAACCATATAATATATTGATTAATCACGAAATTAAGGGGCGAATGCAATAAATTATTACATATAACTATTTAAAAATATGATATTTAAAAATATGATATTCTAACGGATAAATCACAAAAGAAATTCAAAAGAGGTGTGTAAATAGTGGAAAAGTGTAAATAATGCAATTAAAATAACGGATGAAGTAATTAACAGATTACATAAAATTATTTATTAATTAAAAAATTACATAAATATTTATATTTATAAAAACAAATGATTTATTCAACAAAAGTATTATCATTTTACTCCGGGCCACCAAAATATTAGAAACGGCTATGACAACAACCACACTCAACAACAACAACAACAGCACCCCACAAGAGAGCACCACACAACACACATAACACGCAATAGCAGCGCACCACACACGCAACAATACACGCACAGCACCACACGCGCAACAATTAACCTCCCAGCACCACGACTCCGCACAAGACCAAGACCAACCCAAAAAAGAAAAAATCTGAGGTAGGGAAAAAAAATAATAAATAAAATCGAAGCCCTAATCTCACAAAATTGCGGAAAAATTAATAACTGAAGAACAAACGAGGATTGAAAAAATTCTCTAAAATTAGAGAGGCTGTGATACCATAAAAACTCAAGAACGATTGGAGAAAATAGCTTAGTCTGATATTTACCGCAATATATATACACAATACAAAAGAGAGACCTGACTTGCCTAAAACTCCTAACAAGATAAACATGACATAAATACAATATTAACATATATAAACCAACCAAATTCTAATAAAATAAACCAAGAAAGATGACATAAAATTCAATGACATGTTATAAAGACAAACATTTTCTCAAACATGTGAAAAATTCGAATCTTGAAAATCAACATAATATATATATAACGAACCAGAGCACTCACAATACTAGATGATCCTAAATCTAGTCAAGATGTTGACTAAATATTACGGAGTATTACACTATTATTTAATGAGAAACACAAGTGATTCTACTACATGGTATCACGAGCCAAAGAACAATACTAGATCAAGATAACGAACCAAAATGTGAAAACACAAATTTCAAAAAACTGGCCTTATAGTGTGCAAACTTAAATTAATTAGCGGACGTAACTCAAAATATGATTATATTGTTGTGTATTAAGAGACTAGATGATCAAGGTTGAACAAAAGAAAAGTGAATTGCATCACATTATATTAAACACAAACGGAAACTTTTATTAGAAGTTAATTTAGACTAATCTAAATGTGCAATAAAAAATCTAGTAAGTAGTATAGAAAATTCTAGGAAATTTTTACTTTTGCTACCAGCAAAACACATGTATCTTACTTTTGCTACAAGAGAAAATTTTATTTTTATTTTACTACCATACAAAAACTAGTTTGTTAAATTAAAATTGTTACCACTTAACACATTTAGTTACTATTTCCGTTAGTGAGATCTAACAACCCTCACTGCCACCCCTCCCTCCTCAGACACCCTCACTGCCCCCTGTCAGCCACCTCGACCCACCATGAAAAAAAAAATAAAAAATAAAAACACCCAGCCACCATCACTGCCAGCAACCCCCCTGCCGGCGCCCAAAGCATCGCCCGGCGCCGGCGACCCCACTCCCCCCCTTTTCCTCCACCGTCGCGACCCTAACCCAACCTTTCAGCCACCGTACCATCCCTTACAACTCTCAATGACCCATGACAGCTCTTCCCACCGCACCACCATTACTCACCTTCAACCTCTCGCAACACCACAAAAAGTCCAAAATGCGCCGCTACTGTTGCTGCTCCTCCCTCCAAACAAGTCGCCCCACTCCCCAACACCAAAAACCATCACCTCTAACCTTAAACCACCAGCCCGAAACCATCCTAAACGGGTTTTAGGGTTTCGCTTATGGTGGTTTCGGGGTGGTGGTTTAGGGTTAGGGGTGGCCGAAAAGGGTAGGGGAAGGGGAGGGGGGGCCGATTTTGGTGGGGCAAATGGGGAGGGGGTGGTTTCCGATTCGGGATAGGAATTGGGGTAGCGAGAAGGGGATAAGGGATGGGGAAAGGCTGCGTAGGTGGAGGAAAGAGAGGGGGAGTGGAGTCGCCGGCGCCGGCAGGGCAAGGGGGAGGGTGGCTGACGGGTGGTGGCTGGGTTTTTCTTTTTTGAAAAAGAATTTAAATTTTTTTTTTTTTTAATTTTTTGAATAAACTTAACAGAACCCTAACAGATTCCATTAAGTGGTAGCAATTTTTAACAAACTTGTTTTTGTATGGTAGTAAAATTAAATTAAAATTTTCCCCGGTAGCAAAAGTGAAGTACGTGTGTTTTACTAGTAGCAAAAGTGAAAATTTCCAAAATTCTATAATAAAGTAGAAAAATCAAAAGAGGTTTGTATCTACAAATATCTTGTAAAAATGTCAAAGATATTTGATGTAGAAAGATCTAATATTAGACATGTGTAGAAAAATCTAGAGAGTAGGAACAACTACTATAAATATGTTCAATGTAAATGAGTTAGAAGTGAGCCAATTAAGAGAGCTTCCATTGATGTAGTGAGGGAAGTATTCACCAAGATAGTGACAGACATGAGCTCTCACAAATTATATATGAGTGGTGTAGGTGTGTGAGTAAGTCTCCACCAAAAATATTGTTGATACAATTTATGAAATCATAGATTCAGGTTCATTAAACTTCCGCATGCGTCCAAATTCTATCAACTTTCCTTATGCAAGTAAATCTCTTATTCTCTTTTATAATATAATAATTCCAAAATCTCAGTATCCCAAGAAATAAACGATGAAATAACTTCAATAATAATGGACATTAAATAATCATAATAATCAAGATTGTTCTATAATATGATAGTTGAATACAAACAAAATTAAGTTCAAATTTTATATTACGTTATATTGTTATTGTAAATCGTCTGATTAATCATCAATAATAATCTTCCAATGCATAAAATCAAAAAATAACTATTTAACGGTACTAAAATCCAAATTAATCAATAACATTGTCAAATTACATATAATCAAAACCTATTTTTAGCTTTTTCACGATACAAATAACCAAAATCATTCAAATTATCAAAAATAAAGAAAAAAGAGAAGTATAAAAGTGTAGAAAATACCTAAGACGTTAAAATATTTGGAAATCTTGAAAAGTGGAAAATTAAGGTTTGATTGCAATTTTGTGAGTATTTATATGAAATACCAAAAAGGAGTCCAACTCCTATTTGGAGGATTATGAAGGTTTTGGGGAAGTGGGATATTATAAGGGGCCGTTTGGTTTGCACGGGGTAAACGAAATGGAATGAACAAAGGGAATGAAATGGAATGGAATGAAAATCCCTCAAATGTAGTATGTTGTTTGGTTGTAAAAAAATAATGGGAATCACTAGATTCACCACTACCACACCCACACACCCTCACCGCGTTTTCGAAGGTTGTGGTGGATGGACGAAACCCTAACCCCCATCCCTACCCCTCGCTGCCCATCCCTAACCCCTCACCGCTCAGACCTAACCCCTCCAACTACACGGTGGTCGACTTAGAAGGGTTTCTAGGGTCGGGGTGGCATTTTCGAGGAGAGGGGGTGGCGTTTTCAAGGGCTATGCGTGGGTGTGGGGAAGGTTTTCCGGGGAGGGAAGGTAGTTTCAAGGGGCGGCGAAGGGTTAGGGAGGGTCGGTGACTGGTGCGACGTGGGGATGGCCGAGATTAGGGAATTTTTTCGAGGGAGTTGAGGGGATGGCTGGCGAGGGGTGGTGGAGTTGGGGGGATGGCCGGCGAGGGGTGGGGGAGGTGCGGCAAAGGGTAGGCGGTGGTGCGGTGGTGCAGTTTTCTGGTGATGTGGGTAGGTAGGAGGGTGGTAATATGGTGGTGTAGTGGTGGCCAAGGAATGGAATGGAAATACTTTGGGGGGGTGGGGAATGAACTTGGAGGGATTTGGGGGAATGAAGGGGGAAAGGGGAAATGGAAAAGTGGCCTAACAAACAACAATAAAGGGAATGATTCCCGTCGATTCTCATTCCCTTTGTTAAATACCCCAACCAAACGGCCACTAAGTGTGATGTATGCCTCAAGATTTTATTTGTTTTTATAAGTCAAAACGATACCGTTTGATTAACTTATAGAGGAAGAGTTTCAACTTGGATTGAACTCCAAGTTTTATTAACAGATATTCTGAGTATTATCATTAAATAAAATAATATAATCCTAGGTCAAGACGACATGGCTTAAGCTTAAAATGCAAAAAGCTACTTAGTTTAATGAAAAGAAAAAAAAAAAAAAACAAACAACAAAGCTTTCCAAATTTCGTATCTAGGAATAAATTTAATAATAATAGTATAATACAATAATACTGTATATAGGAATAATTAAATAAAAAAAAAATAAAAACATTTTCTAACCAAATCATTGATGATTAAAAAAATATATTCACTTGTCACAGTTAACTTTTTCTTCGACTTGATTAACACTAATGCGTATCCTTGAATCACTTGCCTTGATCACTTAGGCAATTAGGCTAAGGTTTGGAACCATTGGAGTCTCTACAGTTGAGATTGAATTTGTTCCTACAGAATAGTGAATACCAATCAACTAGCTAATCTCAGAAATCTCGCTTTCATTGCTTACGACAAAACTGCAAGTTACAAAATCCCTTTGGGAACGTATTTAACAAATCTTCTTTCAATATACTACAAAACAATAGCACCAATGTCATCGGCACAGAAAGAATTCCGTTGAGAAGATTGCTGGTCAGAGACAACTTTAGCTATGATCAGCGTTGGGCCGTTACATGTGATCCCAACTTTCCTATTGCCACTGAATTGTCACAAGGACATTCATTGCATGCGGGCAAGAACTGCATCGTAGCAAATGTACCAGTAATCTTTGTAAGATATAGATAACCAAGGAACTTCTGGAGTAACTTCGGTGCACAGCTTTGTTGAAATACTGTAAATATCATATTTAATGTAAGAGTTACGTCTCTCTATGACAAGTTGACAACCCAACCCCCAAAGAAAAAAAACCACCACAACAAGAGACAAAATGGAGTAAAAGGGCAAAGGTGAGAGGAATAAAGATTCACTTTAAGATTGACGCAGATCACAAACCTTTTGCCCGTGAGGATCCCAGAAATTGCAGAGCGAAGAGTTTGTCCATGAACTCCAGAGCAGATGTTCTTGTAGTGAGGGAAGACCACTTGCCCTATAAAATTTCAAGTTAATTTAGTAGGAAGACCTATACTCCTATCATCAAAGCTAAGAGCCAGACTCAAAATTATAGCAGACTCAAAATTCTAATAAGTATACCATCAAAGCTAAGAGCCAGACTCAAAACTATAGCAGACATTGGCCTGACAATCAAGTGAAACTACATAACTTTAACAACAGCATACCAAAATATTAACACCGGTAATATACCCATACTTCCTATGCAATTTTTCTTTTCCATCCACCTTATTTTACTCTTATATCCACAACTTGAAGAAGCCATTCCTTTTACAATAAATACCAAGATGCCGTTAGCAGTCTTGCAGAAGGGCAAGTCCTAAGAGCTGATTATTGCAGCAATACTTGAGACTCTGAAATTAGCTAGTTGATTGGAAGAAATAATTAACTAACTAGAGCAAGATAAAACTCAGGCAAGGCAACCCCACCTTCCGAGGGTTGCCCCTGAAATCACAAGCAAATTTTGGATGAATTAACCATTCGTATATGATCTATATTACCAACTAGTTCATATATTATCTACGAAGTACATAGTAACAGGTAAACAATTATTAAGGTATGAGCATTGAAACATAAACGAACAACGATAACAAGAACTGACCACATCAAGCTATCCTCATAATTCTCATAAAACTTGAAAGTACATAGAACAGAGCAAGGCCTCACCAAAAGTGAAAATATTGCTGCGGAGATGTGAAAGTAGAGGTACAGACTTCCTGAAATTTGTATTCTTTTCTTGAGGCATACCCTTGCATGATAAAGCAATAAGAAACCCATCCACCGAGAAGGCATCTGCAGCGCTCTGACAGTGAATAGTTTCAAACCAGATTCCTGAAGGAAATCTCTTTGACCTTACCAACCAGAGAAGGATTTTACTATAAGGTGTATCATGAATAATAGAGATGATGATCTCTATTACTGTCAGGGAGAAGATAATTGTCAAATTCATGGTGGCAAAATATATATAGAAGACAGATGTAGTCGGCAGCAGTAGCAAGAGCGGAGTGAACAGTAGGGATCCAACAACATGTTGCTCCACACTGTATTCATAGCTATCTAACCTCTGACGAAGAGGATTCCACTTACGGCCCCTGCCAGACAAAAACCATCTCATAAGCAACTAGAATCACCACATTACAACAATATTTAGTTCAACCCCAAAAAATTCACTAGCAAATATATAACTCGTATTGTTCAAATTTAAGGAATAATATTTATGCTCAATACAATACAGTTAGGATGCATTAACTATTAACAACTTTACTAGCTACCTTTATAATGAAAACGCCATATATACAAGTATCCTCTGGTTATATACCCCAATAAACCACAATTAAAACATATTATGAACCAGCTAAGACACTTGATCAAGCAACAATTTCCTTGATTTCTTTCAAAATTCCAAGCGGCATACCAAATACAAAAATATTCTTAAACAATATCCCATTCAGTCCATCTAGATCTTAACGCATCATTTTAGCTTTCCATCTTTCTAAAAGTACAGGACACTTTACGTACAATGTTGCACAAAAGTAAAGCTCCTTAATATTTCTACCCCTCAAAATGTTATCTCAGTGGGACTTTTGTAGCCTCTTCACAAGGCTCGTCTTGTAAATGGAGGAATGCACACATTTGAAATGAAATTATACTTGGTTATGGCTACCATTGAGTACGTATATGTACGAATGTACCACAGCGTCGTAATAATGGAGTGTGTAAGATTACAGATAGCTAGACGTTTAAGAAACTACAACCTATTCAACATCAAAAACCTCCTTGCTATCTGTAATTTCCCACACTGTTATGACAGGACTTTTTAGAAACTAGACAACAAATGTATCAAGCTGTTTACCTAAAAAGACGCCATAAAGCTGCCAATGCTTGAATCTGAAGTGAATACAAGAGAGAGATCAAATAATGGAGTTCGTAAACATGGAATGCAGCTATTACAATCATATCTGTGATCAATGCCACTGGAATTGTCATGCCAAGAAGAATCCCCGACAAAGCAACAACCTTAATAATAACACCAGAAAATATGTCTGCTGCTGAAAACCAGAGGGTACTCCAGATCTGGATAGCATTAAGGGAAATGATACCCAAAACTCCTGCAAGCTCTGTGTTCAGCTTAAAACCAGCAGGCACTCCCATCAACCATACACACCCCGTACGTAAAACATCATCAGTGAAGTGAATGGCACAAGTTGAAAACCATTTAAGAACAGCTTCAGCGTGTAATAACAAAGTAAATCCAACCAAGTTCCCCAAAAAGACATCAATGGCTGCAGAAGACCAAAAGGAATGCTTTCGTAATCCAGCTTTCTCCGCATATTCAACACATGTTTGAGACCTTGCATATTTAGGAGCACAAAGATAATAAATAAATAAATAAATAAATGAAAAAAAAAAAAAGAGAGAATCAAGATTTCCACAATATCAATAAATTAAAAGCTCTCACAAGGCTCCCACCTATGACACAGAATAATTGTTGAAATATAGGGACAAAGAGAAAAGGGGGTGCCATCAACACAGACTTAATAGGTGGCCGTGGACTGGGCCAGTTCAGGCCAGGCCAACAGGTCGAACACACCAAGACAGTTCTGGGGGTCAAGCCTGGGCCAGGCTGGTCCATGGGTAACAATGTCTCCATAATCCTTCATTACCTACCCCTTGGCTAGTCCCATTAAGGACCTGGCCTGAAAAGGCCCAGTACCAAGACACACTCAATGAGTTGTAAGCTTAAATGATATGTATCTAAATAAGAGAGAAAGGAAGGGAAAAAAATTTTGACCCACACTGACATAACAGGCAAAAAATCTTTTGCAAACTCGTTAAAATCATTCATACATGTGAAGTAGTATTTCCCATAATAAGTAAGCAGGTCATGTATTGTCCAATTTATGAAATTGACAACAGCAATGTTACAGTCATTTTAAATCCCTTTCTATCCTGATGTCCCTGAAGTAACTCTAATATCCAAATTCCATTAAAAAGTGAAAATTACAAGATCATTCTTGGAAACTGATACAAATACAGCAAATATTCAAGCAATTAGTTTTCCCCATACACTCAATCAAAAAAAAAAAATGTATATATATGTTTGCCTACATGCAGAACTTCAAATATGACATACAAATCAAAGAAAAATCCAGCATCATGCACATTACTTACCTTAGGCCGGTTTCATTAAGGAAGATAGGCCAATACAGAATCTGGTGACATCGAACTTGTGTATTTCTCCATGTGTTACTAAAAATTTTTGCTAATCCATTGCATATCCAGAAATTTGATGCACATCCTGCAAGCTTCTTGAATGACTGAAGGACTATAAAGAGAAATGTGGAAAAGGTGGCCACGGCAGTTGCCCAGGACCTCCAGAGAAAGTTCAAAAACCTGTAGTATATTCAGATGATCAACAAAATTATAGAAAACAAGGGATAAAAATGAAGGAATAACAACACAGAAAGTACCAGATAAGTTTACATGTATAGCACTAATTTCTGGGAAGAACTTTCGAGTCCTAGATTGTTGCAAAAGTACATATTTGCAGCAGCGGAGCAATTAATAGCCAGGATAACTGCGTTCTGCATTTTGGTGAATGCAAAATCAATATTTACTAGTTATAATTTATAGTTATTAGTCATATTCTTATCAACAAGGTGTTCACAAATCTTACCAAATCTTGAAGCTGAGGTTTATAATAGAGTTCATCAACCCACTTTGGTCTTTTAGGCACACATTTTGTAGGTTTGGAACTACAAAAGTTTAAGGCGAAATGATGACTACCATATTTCGGAGTTTCATAAATCATAACCTGACAACTTCAAAAGCAGATAATAAATGGCACTGACGATTGGCATCCATCTTATGAAGTAAGAAAAAGAAGAAAGAAAGACTTACATACGTGGAGTTCAGCCTGAGGTGATAGTTCGCCGTTCAAATGCAGATGATTCAATGCTGGAATCCAGCAAGTCTCACTGGAAGGATAACTGCGAGCATCATGCACAAACTGGATCCAAGTTGAGTGGCTAAGAGAAGCATGTCTGTATTGCTTTAATAAGCTGTCATAAGCAGTACATCCACAGCTTGAATTCCTAGAATTTGCAATAGAAGTAAGTTGCCCATTGAGCCAACAGGCTTTAGCAGATTGCACGTTGTGATCACTGTTGACCGTATTAAAATTATGCAGATGATCTGTATTCTCATTTGGCAGCACACAGCGACCCAGAACAGTCAAAATAGACTTCTCCTGTAATATGACCGGCATTCCTCCGTTTGCATGATGAATTGTCTCCTGATATTTTCATCCAAAAACTATAATTGCTTTAGAGAGCATACTTGAACTATATACAGCAACATCATAATTACTATAGAATCCTTTAAGATTTATTGAATAGAGAACTATGAAATGAAGAAATACTAACACACCATAGGAAAGTGTAGGACCTCATCAACTTTTGTACGATCCTACTCACCCATTATTGTTGTAGACATGAAAATAAGTTAATAACAGACATAACACTATGTTGCAAGGATGTGTATACTGCAAACAATATAGCCACAATACTAATCTGCATCCACCCTTCCCAGCTTCAAAAAATGAAACAAGAGCAGGAGAAGCTATAGATCCAAAATGCAAATATATAAGCTCAATAGATAAACACTAGCTTATCCAAAGTGACAATCGACAATATTTGTCACTAGTCCACTAGATACAACTTTAAACCACCAATCCAGTATCAATCATGGCATGTGTTAGATCATATCCAAATATCCAGCTCTTACTTTTACAATCCCCTTAGTACTTGGAATTACCATCCTATGCATATAAAAGTTTACCATCCAAGTATCTTGAACAATTACTATAAACAAGCACGCAATCAAAACTAGGGGCCAAGATTTTTTAACCATAAAAGATAATACTCCTTCAGTCCCATATTGGCATAAATTCTAAGGATAGTAGTTAATGTAAGATAGAGTGTTGTGTCAGAGTGAATAGATTGATTAGTGGGATTGAGAGAAATTAAAAAAAGTGATTATAAAAAAGTGTGAAGAAGATTCTGTGATACCCAAAACAGAAAGTGTGAAGATCTGTGACACTCAAAAGTATAAAGTATGAAGAATTTGGGATTACTTGACAGTTCAAGCATATGATTACTTGACAATTCAATAATTCACTGATAAATCTAGTTTAATCGTTCTACAGCTTATTCTCACACAGTGTACACGCAATGATAGAAGAGCACAAACTTAAGCATACAACCCTTGTTCTGCAAACCTAGGTAAGACAAAAAAAAGGGGATGCACTGAAGCGGAATGCAGAAGCACCCAAAATTTCAGGTAGGGGTTAAAACTTGAACATGTTATACAAGTAGCCTTGTGCTCACTCTTCTACCCATCCTTTTTTTTTTACCCCTCTGCCCTCGCATTTCTCTAAACACTAATTTCAGCAATAATTCATTGAACCAAAGCATTTTACCCCCCACCCCCCAAAATTACAACTAAATTGACTACGCTCTCCCCATAAGTGTGTTCCTTTTTGTTCCATAAACTTCTACTATATTCCATTTTTGACAAAAACTTGCCCCACTCGTTGATCTACTAGTCATTAATTAGCTCATTTCATGCTTTTGCCAATTGTTGGGACTTCTTTGTTCTGTTTCTTCTTTCCTTAATTCTTCTGCAAATAGTAAAGTGTAAAGAACATAAAGGAAAGGAGGTAGTATCTACAATTGGATCAAACGATTAGCAGAAGTTCACAAGGTTCACCCATCATTCGGCTCCCCGAAGCATTTCGTCAACACTAAGCTCACCACTCAGATTAACTTAATACCTAAAACCCATCGCAAACTACTCTAATGTCCGAATATCAACCTGAATAAATTTCTCATTGGATCAAACATTGTGCTAGGCCACTAGCACAGAACCATCACTATTAGTTAATAAGATTATTAGGAATCATAACAAGTAAGTTACAAATAATATCATAGCAAATTGAACTTTTAACTTTGATAACACACAAGTTTACAAACTTTATAATTCAACGATGCACAGGATTATTAGCACCCAGAAGTTCAAAATTAGATAACACACAAGATTATTAGCTATCTAGAATTTCAGAATTCGACTACACACGAGTAATTATTAGATATCCTCGACTTTAGTTTTTGCTAACGCACAAGATCATTACTTCGTAGCCATAATGAACTTTAAAATTCGACAACGCACAAGCTTATTAGCTATCATGATCTCCAATATTCGGCAACACAAGATTATTAGCTAGAATGAACTTTAAAATTCGACAACGCACAAGCTTATTAGCTATCATGATCTCCAATATTCGGCAACACAAGATTATTAGCTAGAATGAACTTCAAAAATTCAACAACGCACAAGATTATTAGCTAAATTTATTCGATAACACACAAAACTATTAGCTACCTTGAACTTCAATAATCAGTAACACGCAAATAGAGGAATTTAAACTATAACTTCAAAAATCAAAATGAAGAAAAATATAAGAAAAAATCAAAGAAATTGCAGAATTACAAACCTGGATAGTAGAATCAGAGGATTGAAGAGAGAGAAAATCATCAGGAAAAGCGAAAGCCACAACAACATCAAGGCAAGATGAAGAACAGGAGATGAACCAACCAAATAACAGCAAACTTTTTGATGATTTTGGGAATTCAGAGGATGATATCTCTTTCGGCCACCAAACCCTACATTTTATGCTCATTTTATTTTTATTTTTTTGTCGATTTACTTCAATTCCACCATTAACGAATCTCTCTCCAAAATTAGGGATTCAGCGATGAATTCGATGCTCGATTTTGGTTTAGGGTTTGCTGAGTGTTGGATTCTTTTCTGGGTTAGATGAGCTGAGCGAGTTGACTCGGTGGATGGGTTAGAACGGGTTGGGCTCGATGGTGCAGTTGTACTAGATTCATTGCTTGGCTTAAGGAGTTAGTGCAAAAGTATGGCGTCTGCACAATTACTAGTGGAGGCTAGAATGCTAGATTGCTAGATAGCCTAATTGGATATTAACCTTTACGATTTTTTTTGTCTATATACGAGGACTAGTATTTACGGATAGATTCTTTAAAAGAGAGTGGAAAGTAATTATGGAGTTCCCACCCTTAAAGATTATTTCTTAGATTAAACCCTCAACTTCAAAGTTGGAATGTGCAATATTTCTCATTAGACTAAATTTAGCTTGAAAGTTGGTACTAGTGGATGCTATGTGGTGTCACTAAAATCAATTAAATTATACAGAGTACCTAGTAAAATAGGGTATGGAGTTTTTTTTTTTTTGGTAAAAATAAAGATCCAACTAGCACCTCATTAGACAACTTAGTTACGCATTAACATATATCATCACTTGAAAGTAGAGGGGGATGGTAGGGAATCCCCTACTCCCAGACTCCTCCCAATCATAAGTAGCTAGTGGCCTTAGCTCAAATTTGGGTGAGTTTTACACTGGCTCCATCAGGAAGAAAAAAATAAATAAATAAATAAATAATATATATATATATATATATACATTCAAGCCGATAAATACAACATACGAAGTGTGTAGTACAAAGTTTCCTCTACTCTTAAAGTGTTTAACCCTTTAATTCAAAGGTGAATTGATCAATGAGAGATATTGAATCATTAATGTTGGTCAATAGAGTTTTCTTTATCTTATGATATTTAGTGAAGTAATTTTAAGTTTAGTTGGGTTCTAGATAAGTTTTACTCGATATTGGGTTTAGGTATCTCCTTGATCTGATGTTGGTATGAAGGGCAAGGTTAATCGTAGAGCTTTCATTCATTGAGATGGTGTTTGTGTCTCTACAATGGGTTCGTTGGAGGGTAATGTTGATCAATAGAGTTTTCTTTATCTTATGATAGTTGGTGAAGTAATTATAAGTTTAGTAGGGTTTTAGATAAGCTTTGTTGAGCTAGGTATCTCCCTGATGCCACTAACGTTCTTTAGCTGTTGAGTTAAGAGATGGCAGTGGAGTTGAGTGTAACTTGGTTTAAATGAAGCATTCTTCAGTTGTATATTAGAAAAGAGTTCTTCAACTGTTCAAAAAATATATCATTCATTGAAAAAATGAAAACCAACTTCTATAACCTACTAATTAAATAGTGGGGATACTTCATATGTTGATGAGTGGATACAATACCATGGATTCACGAGGAACTTCTATAACCTATAATGCCTATGTTTAATAAAATTAAAGCTTATAATGCCTTGATGGGGACCGATCAAGAGGAAGATAGATCATGAGTGGATACAATACCATGGATTCATTTGAAACCTTGCACTATTTAATTTTCATTGATTTATTAAACACGATATTAAGGTGGTAAAAACCAATACTGTACTTTTTAAAGGTGATAAATTTTTAAAAAATCTTAAATGATTAATAAAATATTGGGTATACTTCATACGTTGATCGGTTGATGAGTTAGTTTTCATAATTTGGGATAAAATTAGGCACCATTTAATTTGTTACCTAATTGTGCTTCCATATTCCATCACATGAACTTCAATTAAAATCATGATACATGCAATGTTGGGTGGCTAGGTGGAAAATAAGTACTCATATAACGTTTGTGCTTTGAAGGTGCTTTTATTTTAATTAGATAAGACTAAAATTGAACTTAATAGGTGATGGTTGCTAAAAGGTACTCCGTACTATATACTTATCTCCGTTAATTAACATGTATTCGTTTTTAGGAAGTTTATTTTTAATTGACACGTTTTTTTTTTTTTTTTGGTAAGTTTTATACCTTGTTTTTACTAGGGACCCCACTTGCTTTATTATTCTCTCTCATTTTCTCTCCTCTCTCCCTAATATGTGTGCCTAAAAAACAGAGGAAGTATATTTTTTTATTGTTACACAAAGTATATCTCAATCAATTGTCACAATCAAGGGGTATTTTGATTTATGCGTAAACTTCAATGGAAAAAGCAAATTTAAAAAAAACAATTCATACATAAAGATTAAGTTATATATACAATTAAGTAGAATTTTAAATTATAGGGAAGTCAACTAATTAATGTTATGAAGTATGAACCTATGAACTCCTATTGTAACTATCTTTCTATTTTGTCCAGTTCTAAAAGCTATAGAAAGATACTTCGTATTAGTCAAATAGATTAGACATCCTATCAAAACTTGAAAATATCAAGTCAAATACACAACATTTACAGAAAAAGAAACAACATTATATAGAAATAAAAATAGAGAGTAGTAGTAAAATACCAAGTCAGAAAGTGTAACATTTTTTTTTTATACCTCAAGTGAAATAACTAAGTCAATTTACCAATTGAAATTGCAACACTACAAGTTATGCATGATGGGAACTTGATTGTATTAATATATTAGCCTAGTTAAAGTAATCTGTCATCAGTTTTATAGCTAACGATAACATACACTGTGACTCAGGCCTTCACTTTTGGTTATAACACTTAATTTTTTTAGCTTATTAATGCATAATGTCAACCCTTCGTATTTTTATAATGTAAAAAATTACATTATAAAATTAGATATTGTGAAATATAAATTGAAACGAATTTAACAATTAAGATCCCACTTGAGTATACTTTGCCCAACATATTAATCAATAAAAAGGTTAAGGAATTTTTTTTTTTTTTTTTGAAACAGGTTAAGGACTTGTTTGGTAAATGGCTTTTGGCTTTTCATTTTGGTCAAACAGCAAAAAAAGTGTTTTATAAATGACTTTTTTATTGGCCAAAAGTTAAAGCTGGCTTTTTCGCCAAAACTAAAAAGCTAGTCTTACTGGCTTTTGGTATTGGCTTTTGGCCTTTTACCATTAAAAGTACTTTCATATCCTTGTTACTTTTAATAATAATTAATAATTACTCTGTAGTAATTAATTATTATTATTATTATTAATAATAATATTCGCAATGTATATTACAAAGATAATAAACTACACCAATTGTTTCGGGGTTTTCTGATGTCCTGCGGGAGAGTTACAATTCCGAGACTGGATCCGTGCGCCTGTACTTGAAAAACAACGGAGACTCCGGATGCTGGGAGCTCCACCTCCGATGGTCAAGTTAGTACTTGTTTGAGGAGTAATAGTGCGGAAAAAGTAAAGGTTGAGAGATCAGGTTCCTCTAGGGGAGGAGTGATTAGTGTGTTTAGATTCTCTAGGTGAGAGTAATTAATTGCTTGATCCCCTTTAATAAGGATTAATTAGAGTATTTATAGCCTTGAGAAACGTGCCAAATACTGGGTTTAGGTTAACCTAGGGCTGACTGGACTTCCCTTGGAAATTGGGCCTAGGTGGACGTTTGGCCTATTTGGCATACGGAGGCCACGTGGAGTGACACAACTGGTCCATGGTGGACAGACCAACTCCTGACACGTGGCAGGCTTCTACTGACCCATGTAGCGGACACTTGGTAGAGCCTGAATGGTCCACTTGTCAGATGGGATTGGTAGGGAAAAATCCCCTAATCACCAATGTCGTTAAAAGGTCATTTTTATATAAGACAACCAACAACCAATTTTATCAAACATATTTATTAACAGCCAACGGTCAAACAACCAACGTAAAAGGCCAATACAAATAGCTGGTTGGCCAACCAAGAGATACAACTAGCAGTCAATAGCCAATTGCCAAATAAGTCCTAATTCTAAGAATGTGAATAGTATAAATTTTTAATTTTTTTTAAAAAAGAAGAAAAATAAATATTAAGGAGCCCACCTCATGAAGGGGAATTCCTAATGTATCAGAAGAAATAATAGAAATCAAACTAGAGTTATTACAAATATCAATATCCATACTACTACATACTAAATGGCTTGGCCTACATTAACTATCCAATCCGACGCGCGATTTGCCTCTCGGTAGGCGTGCTGGATACTCCAATTGCGAAACCAAAAAAGGAGAGAATGAGTGTCTTCGATTATATAACCAATCCATCTGCCAAGGTACTGCCCAAATGTCTTTTATTGAGTTGATGATTAATAGGTTATCACCTTCAATTTCAATGTTCTGAATGCCACATTAGAGAACTAGTTGGACTCCTTAGATTTTCAAGTTTTGCAATTAAAAGTGAATGGGAAAATTATACTCGTAATACTATTTATATAATATCAATCTAACCATTTTCTTCTTACTACTTCCTCCGTTCCTTTTTAGATGACACAGTTTGACTTTTGCACTATTCACAAACAACACTTTGACTAGCTTTTGTGATTTGTAGCTACGATAAAACATAATCATGTGGGATCTTGTTTGAATCGTCTTAATATATATTTTATTAATATCCACTTTTTAAAATTTTATAATGTTGAAAATAGTAGATATAACTCGTTATAATTGTGCGTTGGCAAACGTGATAAAAGAAACGTGTCATCTATTAAGGAACGGAGGAAGTATATTATACGGAGTAATAGATTTAAAAGAAGGTACACTGTGAAAGATATTCCCTTTATCTTAATGTATATTTTCAAAGTATTAAATCTGCTTACAACATTTATAATAGATTAACAAAAGTAGCAATAATAATTAAACTTGTGCATTGACAAATGTGACAAATTAAAATGGTGCAAATTACTGTCCAAACTTTCTTGATCTATTGCCACCTTTTATTTCTACAATGTTACTCTTTATTGAGTAGGACAAATTATGTAAATCATGATTATCCGTAATAATGTAATATTTCACCTATTAACCCAACTGAAAAAAATGTTGTAATAATAGAATAATTAATAACTCGACTTTTAGTAGTGAAAATCACAAACATGATACTACTGAGTCTCGACTTTGATTTTCTATATAAAATGTCTAATTTCTTTACCTATCATTTTAAACTTATCAAATTAAAATAATTTTGGACCGACCGCGTATCAAAATAAAAAATAAAATAATAGAAAGATGAATAATTTTGATACAACTAGTAGTAGGAAATTAGGGAGAAAGTAGAAAAATCATCAAAAGTAGACAAAAAATGTTGTCACTGCCATACAATATACCTAATCAACCAACAAAACATGTGATGTAACTAATTAATGCTTTCTTAATTAAAGCAATTAGTTGGATTACATTACACCGTCCTTTAAAAATACACAAATACCCCACCGTTAGATCTCCTCCACGTCACGAAATTCCTACCTCATCAACCAATCATAACCGCCCATTCATTTAAAAAAGCACATCAATTATAGACGAAAAGTCATTCTCATACACATGGGAAGTGGGTCCCACAAAGGTCAAAAAATCATCAAAGTCTATCCATTTACACGCCACCCAAACACGGCTTTTCAAGTCCCCGGTTATTGGCCCACAGATTACCGGCCATTGTCGGTAAAAAAATGATTGGGCCGGTCACCGGTTCAGAATATCCGGTTCATTTTACCGGTTCACCCGCTGTCTATATATATAAAGGTCGCTCTTTTTTTCTCCTCACTTTCTCTCTCCTCAATATC